CTCTTGAGCCCAGGAGTTGGAGGTTGCTGTGAGCTGTAATGCCACGGCACTCTACCCAGGGGGACAGCTTGAGGCTCTGTCTCAAAAAAAAAAAAAACTATTGATATCACACTGGCCATTAATTTCAAAGAAAATAAAACAGGCTTGGCACCTGTAGCAAAGTGGTTACAGTGCCAGCTACATGTACTGAGACTGGCAGGTTTGAACCTGGCCCAGGCGTGTGGCAGGCGCCTGTAGTCCCAGCTACTTGGGAGGCTGAGGCAAGAGAATTGCTTCAGCTCAAGAGTTTGAGGTTGCTGTGAGCTGTGACACCATGGCATTCTACAGAGAGCATCATAGTGAGGCTCTATCTCAAAAAATGAGATGCTGGTGTGGGTTGAAGGCCATCTTCAGGAGGCCACTGACGCTACCAATTTGTGATTTGTGGTAGTTTTTGTGCATGTCTTGTGTGTGCTCTAGAGTAGTGTTTGCTTGTCCTCATATGCTGTGGGGCTCAACAGTGTTAATTATGAGGTTTTTCTTTGCAGTGTGCCCACCAGCATGGAGCAACTGGAGCAGCTGGGTTCAGCACTGAGGTTTCGCTCTAGCTTGGACAGCGACCCCATGTCAGGGTAAATAAAGCTTGAGGCTGGGTGCATCTTCCAGGCAAAGGTGACAAGGGGGCTTAGGTGGGCGAGGGCAAGGGCTATGGAAACTGGGATGACATCATTGGTTTGGAGCCCCAAAGAAGCTGTTACCATTTCAGACCCCTGGGACCCTTGAAGCTTATGTTGGGTAGTGTGCATTAGTGTGCTGGAGTGGGCTTGGGGGTTACTGTGGTTGAGGTTATCATTTGAAGGCCCAGTAGTGAAGGTCATATTGACCTAGGTGATGGGGGGTGGTGGCAGCAAATCACTGATGGGTCCTGATGGGGGAGGGGTGACAATGATGGGGGAATGGTGACAGCCTGAGGTAATGGGAAAAGGTAGCAAGTGTATTATGATGGGGTATTGGTGATACTGGTGACAGTGAGAGGGTGAATGGTGGTGGTGGGTACGTGGTGATGGGGTGATAATGTGAGACAAAGGTGTTAGGACAACTGATAGTGCCATGGTCCCTATGTCAGGACCTTCATCTCAGGGAACCAGGAAGCAAGCCCGTCCTTCAAACTCCAGACTCCTTCACCAGGTTTCTTTTTTTTTTTTTTGGACAAAATGCTACTTTAATCATTATATTGTGATTATAATAGTGCTTGTAAATTCTTGGGGTTTTTTTTTCTTTTTTATTATTTGGAATTCATTGAGGATATAAAGAATTAGGTCACACTGATTGCATTTGTTAGGTAAAGTTTTTATAGTTGTGTCCCAACCCCAAGAGGTGTGCTATACAACGTGACCCCCCATCCTCTCTCTTTTCCCTGTTCATCTGCTGCTCCCTCCTTCCCCTCCCCCCTACCTTGTATTAAGTCATCCACTGGCTTCATATTAGAATTGAGTACTTTGGATTCTAGCTTCTCCATTCTTGTAATACTTTACTAAAAAGAATGTGTTCCAACTCAGTTCAAGTGAATATGAAAGTTGTATAATCTCCATCCTTTTTAGTGACTGCATAGTTTTCCATGCACACATATACCGCAGCTTGTTAATCCATTCCTTGGTTGGTGGGCATTTAGGTTGTTTCCACATTTTGGTGATGTAGATTGAGCTGTGATAAACAGTCTAGTGCAAATGTCCTTATGATAACTTCACTGGGTTTCTGCCCTTCTTTGTCACCACTATGGCAGGTGTCCTGACACACACTTTATGCAGATGGAATGAGTGTGCTGCCTTACATTTGTGTGTTTTCCTGGCTTGTGTCTGTTCCACTTGCTGTCCCCTGCTCTGGGGAATCTAAGAGAAGGGGCTGACTGGCCATTTGGAGGAAGGAACCTTGGGCTCTGGGCCTGGGGAAGGGGGTTTGGTTCTTGTTCTCTACATCCTTACCTGGGCCTGGCCAACCATGGGGCCTCACTGGCGGTAGCAGAACACAGGGCACAGGTCTTGTGAGTGGTGTAGGTTGCCCGCGGCTGGTCAGATACTGAGACCTCTCTCCTCATCCAGGATCTCCTGTCCTGTACCGAGGCCCAGGCTCGCAAATGGCCCCACAAGAGATTCTGACACTCAGCCCATGTGAGCCTGGAGGCAGCTCAGGAGAGGGGACCTCATCCGGAGGACAGTGGGCACCATGGAGGATCTGATTGGTTTTAGGAAGAAGACTATAGGGCTGGGTGTGGTGACTCATGCCTGTAATCCTAGCACTTTGGGAGGCTGAGGAGGGTGGATCTCCTGAGCTTAGGAGTTTGAGACCAGCCTGAGCAAGTACAAAAAAAATAGTTGGACACTGTGGCTGGCGCTTGTCCCAGGTACTTGGGAGGCTGAGGCAAGAGAATCGCTTGAGCCCAAGAGTTTGAGGTTGCTGTGAGTTATGATGCCACAGCACTCTACTGAGAGTGACAAATTGAGACTCTATCTCAAAAAAAGAAGACTACTCTGGCTACTCTGTGGGGGATGGAAAAAGAAGAGGTAAGGGGTGTGGCAGGCAGCCAATTGGAGGCAGCTGTGGCTTCTAAGCCAGAAGTGCTGTAGGCCAGAGGAAGACTGGGCTTGGTGGAGAGAGGTGAGGATGGAGACCTGCATTCAACAGCTGCTCACTGGGAAGGGAGCTGAAGGAGGAGAAGGGCTGCTCTGGTGGGACATAGGATGGGTATAGGTTGAGGGTGGGCTTGAGGTGAAGGGTTAGGGGTGACATGAGTGTGTGAAGCACTGAATCTGAGGGTTGGTGAAGGAGGAGCTGAGAGGGAGCATTCAGAGAGATGGGAGGACCCAGGTGTAGGCTGGTCTGTGAGCAGTGACCATTGTGATGTGCACTGTGAGATGGGGATTTCCTGGCCAGAGGCCATGGTGCCCTGGGCTCATTGAACAGGGAGTTGGAAGTGTACACAATGAGGACAACTCTGTGGAGAGATTTAGCTGTGAAAGGATGAGGAATAAGATAGGAGTTGGAGCAGAAATTGATGTGAAAGCTTATGCAAGGGTGGAGACTTGAGCTGGGAGAGCAGAGAGAGGGGATAGTGCTGGATAAGCTCCCCAAGAGGTGTAGGAGCAAGTGTGGCTGCCTAGGGGTGTGGCAGCAGGGAGGAGCCTGGGGCCAGTTCCGGTGGACCTCTTCCTCCCTGAGGTGTGAACACAGGTGTGTCAGTCCAGCCTCAGGCTATGTATGGTTGCACAACCCTGGGCCTCCCCTGTTCTGTGTTTGCAATGCCCTGCCCACTCCTGCCTTTCCTGCCCCAGTGCTGCCCCTCGGCACCTCCCACCAGCTGAGAAGACCAGACAGCCACAGTGATGCTCCCCTCTCACACCTCACCCGCATCTCTTGTCCTTCTCTGCTTTGTTCTGAGCCGAGCACCATGCACAGGATGTGCTTTATAAGGACGTGGGGCATGAGAAGTGGGTGCTGGGAGGAGGAAGGTGGGGAGACAAGGTCATCAGTGACACCTCTCTTTTGAACATTCTCTGGCTTCCTGTCTTTTGCACCAGGCATCTGTGTGCTGCCACCCCAGCCAAAGTACTGTTTTGTCCACAAGAGAGTTGATGCCTAGATGGGCCCTGCTTTCTGGGCTGAGGCTGAGAGCTAAGAAGCTCGGTAGGGAAAGACCCTGTGGCCAGGGTCAGGGACAAGATCTGCCCTGCTCCCCACCTCCTATTCCTCCTTTCCTCCTTGTTCTCAGACTCTTGGCCTTAGCTGTCCTTCTGGGCTGCTTCTTGGCTTTCCTAAGAATGTGGCATCAGGTCAGAGCACAGGGATGCGGATGAGCCCATGTTTGCCTGGCCTTGAGATGTCACAACCTGGAGGAGGGGTGTCTTCTCTCAATGGGGGCTCTGAGCTTCCCATAGTATGGCCAAGTTGCCTTTGGGCTCAGGGTTGGCCCAGGCCTTCTGAACCCCCCATCCCCAGACTTAGGCAGGTGACTCTCAACCTGTCCTGTTGAGTGGTCAGTGGCTTGCATCCATTCTTGGCTTGTTTTCTCCTTACAGCTTTCTTGGGCTCCCTGTAATGGTTCCTTTGGATCCTGATTTCATGGTCCCTTTCAGCTTCTGGCCACTTACAGAACTGTTGGGCAACTGCTGTGTTTAAACACCTGTGTGGTAGTACCTCTGGCTGTAGGACCCAGGCAGACCACACTGACCCTCTGCTCTGACTACATTGTTATGATGCAGGGGAAAGGTGGGGAAGTCTATTAGGTGAGCAGTGACAACGGCTAACTCTCAGGCACCCGCTGTTATAGACTATCTGTACCTGCCAGCATCACAGGAGAGTGCTGATGTCCTTGTCCCAGACACAGCCTTTTCTAAGTCTGAGCATTGGGAATTTTTGCCTCCTAGGAGGCTGCCCAATGCTCTGCAAGCTTTATAATCCTACCAAGACTCCCAGACTGGGCTATTGCTCCTCTGGCCTTCAGTTCTCTCATGCTAGGCTGAGTCTACTTTCTGAACTTGGCCTTTAAACTCCTCTATCCATGAAGATGAAGATTCAACAAACAAGCTCCAACCTTGTTACCATTTTCTTTCTTTCTTTTTTTTTTTGAGACAGAGTCTCACTATGTTGCCTTTGGTGGAGTGCTGTGGCATCACAGCTCACAGCAACCTCAAACTCTTGGGCTTAAGCAATTCTTTTGCCTCAGCCTCCCAAGTAGCTGGGACTACAGATGCCTGTCACAACGCCGGGTTATTTTTATTGTTGTTGTTTTAGCAGACCCCGGCCGGGTTTGAACCCGCCAGCCATGGTGTATGTGGCCGGCACCCTAACCACGCAGCTATAGGAGCCATGCCCTATGACCACTTTCAAAAATCTATAGACAGTCAACGTGGATGAGAACTAACTGGTGATCGTCAGACACATCAAATAAAGTTATAAAACCAAAATTAAATAAACAAACTCCTCTATCCAAGAGGTTGCCTCAGCCCTGAGAGGCCTCATTTCTTCCTCTTGGAGGTGTGGTTCCAGGAGTACTGTTGCCTGGTATGGCCATAGGCCCCTGCTGCACTCTGCAACCACACCTCTGGTGTTGCTTGACTTTCTCAGAGTGTCATGTTTGACTGACTTGCTAAGAGCTACCCATGAGATCCCTGTGTGAATTTATTTATTCATTTGTCAGATATGTATTGAGCCCCCATTATATGCCAGGCACTGGAAATATAATGGTGGCCCAAAGCATCACAAAGTACAGTTAATCAAATATTCACACAGTGGAATGTGTGTTTATGAACTGAGGTGGAAAGGAATTTAATTCTGTAAGAACATTAACTGAGGAGCCTTTGTGGCAAGGGAAAGTGTTCTTGAGGAAGTGAAACTTTGAGCTGAGGTCTGAAGGGTGAGCAGGAATTAATTTGGTGGGCTTGGGGGAGGGAGGAAGAAAAGGGCTGACCAGGCAGCAGGAACTGCCTGTGCAAAGCCCTGGAGGCAGGGCTCAGCTTGGTGCTTTCTATTTTT